GAAGGACTAAATTTGCTTAACGACTGTTTTTGAGCAGAGAATTTAAGGCATCAGTAAAAGAGACGACAATTGTTTCTACTACTAAACTGCATAGAAGAACAATTCGAAGGACTGGCTTTCAATAAACCGTCGGCATTCATAATTGTCGTCTTTTACGAATTATGCTTCTATTGTGCTAACTAAAGATTCTCACCAATTGTCCTTCAAATACAATGTCCCATATTTAAGCGATTTGGCCTAAAAATTCACCTATTAAAAGGAACTAGGCGTTTTTCTATCCAATCAGTAGGGTCACTAATGTGTGATCTACGCGCGATGATCAATGAAACTGACGCTGGCCGGGACATCGATTAGACATCATAAGGCGCTGAGTCACGTGTGATACTGAGGTAACCCTTGTTTCTATTCATTTTTTCGATTCTTAATGTCTATACGAAACACTTTAAGGGTTTCGTTCGTATATGTTCTTGATCCTTTCACCAAGATCGTGACAGCCATTTCGAAATCACCATCGTTTTTGCGCCCGTGTAGAAGAGCATTGGTTAACCCACACTTTGTCAACACAACCTACTTCAAGGTGTTTATTTACATTACAATTACATTTTTTTACATATTATGTATTCATTTTTTATTTACACAAGTCTCCTTAATGATTTACTCACTTACTGTGCCAAGAAAGTTCCTCCGAATGTTAGGTTTACCTACCAATGGTTCACCGCCTCATTGTGGCTGCGAGGTGTTCGTGGGTGTCGGGCTGCGTTGTACAGCGGGGGGTTCACCCCACGGCAGGGTCTCCCAAGTTGAGAAGGAGTCCAGCTTTCCCATCAGGAAGCGCAGCTAAGGGTAAACCAGTACTAGGGTACACCACCGTCATGGTATGAAACCAGTCGCATGGTGACAAATCTCCCTCTGATCTACAAGCGCGGCCACTGCATGTGGTGGTGACGAACTGGGGCAGATTTTGACTAGGCTTACCTCGGGACTCTAGGTAAACACAGTAACTAAGCCAGCAAAACTCAGAAAAATGGAGATTGTGCTGAGGGCCCCACAACTAGTGAGGACGGGCTGTCCAGGTATCCAAGTATCCAAGTATATATACATATATACACATACATAAGCATATACATATACACGACTGTCCCTAGATGCGTCGATGTGTCTTATGCAATTTCCGCAGTTGCGTGGAAGTTTTGAAGTCTTCACATAGCATGGTTTCCCCATTATGTTTTAGTTTTGAAACTTTTAGACCAAAAAGTAGTATTCTATGGATGGTTCGTTCTCCTAGAGTGTTAGTACAAATCCTGTTCTGAAGGTGTACGAGCTCCTGTGACACTCAAGTACTTTAGTTATCAACAAGTCATCGGCAATAGTAAAGAAAAAGCCTTCTATCAGCCTTATGTTAGCTTACCATTAAAAATTATACATTGAAGAAATAGCGTCATCGTGAATCATTCTTGTTATTGTATTCGTTAACACTTCGAAGTAATTGTGAATATTTTCCAGATCAGGGTGAACAGTCGACTGGTTTCGGCACCTCAGTTCGTAAGGAAAGGATTGCTGAAGGAGGGTGAGGATAATTGTTTTTCTAGTTTCCACTATATTCCTATGTAATGATTTCATGAGTCAGGTTTATTGCCATTATAGGTGAGCGTTTTTGATCGTTTAAGAGTTTTGAGGAGCGCATGTGGCGCAATAGTCGGAGGCGCTCAGCATCACATGAGATCGATCCCTGCGCCCCAGGCTCATCAAGCCTTCCATCCCTCCGGGATCGGAAATTGGTATCAGACTTGTCTCGGAGGATAGCAGCACTGGTTGCACACATCGGTAGGCCACCGCGAGTCATTATAAAGTCCAGATATACATTTAATCACCTCCGACGATGCTTGATGAAGTCGAATGTACGGGGAATCCCTGAGAGATTGATCATCGCCGAGAGTTTTTTTTAAAGCGTATTATATTGTAAACCTAGAATTGGATACAATTGGGTTTCTTCATTGTTTACGTTTGGAAAGTTTGTGTAATTAAAAGCGTCTAACGGAAATATTTAATACTTTCCAAGAGATGTATGCAACAAACAACGAACCGGTCTCTTCGTATGGTTCTTGCACGTCTGGTGGATCATCGAATTCCTCGGTGAGACTAAAACACAAGTAACTTTTCTTTGTTCTTTGTGTAATGTTCTTCTTATGTCTCATGGTACTTTTCTCATTGGAAATATCTTTGTGAACCTACTGAATCCAGTGGATCTGTTGTATGCAAAAAAGCGCCAATGGATTTTGTTCTACACGAAGTGATTGCTCGAAATGAGACATTTTAGGAAAGCAGTTACGTCACGAGTGCATATTCAGTGGTGGATTTAGTCACGGCTAAAATGTGCGCGGTTGATGTCGGCTTAGATGAAGTCTCATCATCAAGCGATTTTTCTCAGGATGAAAATTACTTCGTCAATTCCGGCCATACTGTGGGTTATTGTACTACTACCATTATTGTCTACAAATTTCCTATATTGCTATACTTTGCACACCGTATTTTCTAGTGAGTCGGGGTTTATTCTTAGGCGTCGATTATCGATTCCACGAATGCCGTCCCAGAGTTTTCTCAGATAAATCATTTAACCTATCCCAATGGTGAAGATATGCAGCAACTTCAGAATTCAGAAAAGTCCTGCCTGAAAAGTAGCTCAAAGATCAGTGCTTCTTCTTGTATTAAAATCATTATAATCTAGAGATTGTTTTTTCTCGGCTAGGTGAGACACTATAGCCTCTCTAGACTGTTAGAAGCATAGCTCTATAAAGGTTCTTATAATGGCCCGAAATAGAAGTGAAAATATATTAACACCGTTAGCTATGCGGATTGCAAGTGGTTCGGCGGGCATTTCTCTGAGGCATCAGCGTCTCTGCACTATCACGCTCCATTTGATGTGACATCAATATTTGATGTCGTACAGAAAGTAATTTCTTGTCCAGTTTTACTTTTCGGAAATGGGGGAGGTAGAGGGGACACCTAATTTCAAGTCGGTTGTGCGCTCGCTGCATGTTCGACAAAAGACGGTAATTTCTCGATGAGTAGAAAGCTTAAGGAGCTAAGAACGTGAAAATTATAGAGTGCACTTTGTTATATCGCTATATATATGTATATATAAAGGATAAAGGACAAAGCTCTCGGTGTTGATCAATTCCTGAGGGATGCACCATGCATTCAACTTCATTAAGCATCGTTGGAGGTGATTGAATGCGTATCTGGCCATTACAATGACTTGCGGTGGCCTACCGATATATCGAGCCAGTGCTGCTATCCTCCCAGACAAGTCTGGTACCAATTTGCTTACCCCGGAGGGATGGAAAGCTTGGTGAGCCATAGGGGCGGGAATCGATCCCGTGTATATTGCAGGGCACCTCCGACCACTGCGCCACACGCGCCTCTATGTTTATATGTATATATATATATATATATATGCATGATATGTATCCTACTACCTTTTTATGTTACTGTGGTCCGTCATACAATTCTAGTGATGTCAGCATTTGAGTTTTTTGCAAATTACCACTCACTACTCATAACTTGCTCACTAACTGCTTTGCAAGTTATGTTGTATGGACTTAATATTACTTGTTCTACTTCCTTCCATGCAGCAACCATATTTCTTTAAAACTATTAGAATAAAATAACAGTCCATTATCAACCAAATAAGGACGCATGTGGCGCTGTGGTCGGAGGCACCCTGTAGTACACATGGGATCGATTCCCGCACCCCTGGTTCACCGATCTTGGCATCCCTCCGGGATCGGCAGATTGGTACGAGACTTGTCTGGGAGCATAGCAGCACTGGGTCGATACACCGGTAGCCCACCGCGAGTCATTGTAAAGGCCAGATATGAATTCAGTCACCTCCAGACGATGCTCAGTGAAGTCGAACGTATGGCGTATCCCTAAGGGATTGATCAACGCCGAGAGCTTTATCCTTTTATTTACTCTTTTACCAATCAAACTGCCAGTCAGTCAATTTACGCGAAAAAAAAGATTTTTATTTACTACACATTTGTGTCAAACAAACTATCCAGTGAGTACAAATGTGTGCTAAGAAGGCTCTGTGTGCAAAATAAGTTACTAAGAAAGAAATGCCTTGGGCGCAATGCATATCGTTCTCTGTCTCCCAAGCGTTAACCCATACTCCCGGTGTGGACATTTTGGTATCGAAACGTCTTTGGGCCAGAGAACGAAATGGACACTATGATGTCGACTTTCAGTTCAGTGGTTTCCAGAGTTTCTTTACCGCAATGTGCATAATCATTTGATACTTACTCGAAAGCAGATCAAATTATGAGGTAAGACCAAAAAAGGCCTTCTTTGCACTTAATAGTTTGCAAAAATTCACTCTTTCGGATGAGTTCACTTTTCGACGATGCACAGCGAAATAGAACACCTCGAAAATTCGCCTTTACATAGGAAAATAAGCTACCGAGAAAACTTTTATGCATGTTACTCAATGTCAATAAATAGTTAACGTCAGGAGAATTGTAAATTCTATTTGGGAAGCGCTGGGTATCAACAAAGTAATTGGTGACAGAGATGACCTATCGCATCGCAAATTTGAAAACAATTCTGTCTCATAATTTTGTTTTGTTTTTGTTTCGACAATATAATGATCAAATGTACCTATTTTATCACATAGAACTCTAACAATTTATCTGTTATGGAAATAGATATATTTTTCTATCATGATCACGTGTTCCTTACGTCGACGCGCGCATCGCATGATTTAGTCATCGAGTGTCATCTGTGAAATGAGCGAGTAGTTCTTTATACTTTTGTTGAGCGAATACGAGGTGTTATTTTATCTTTTTGTTTACGAACAAGCTGAAGTCTTCTTTCTGTCTTGGGCTTCTGTCTTCATTTTCCATGGCCAAAATTGAACAGTGCTTTACATTTCAATTTAAAAATTCTGCCGAATTCAGTTTAAACTAGTAAGTGCTATTCTTTTATAGGGATGCTGCGAAAGGATGTCGAATACTGTTCGAAGTGTAACAAATGTAACGTACGATCTTGACACAAAGGTTAGTGTTTATGCTTATCACAAGCTTAGGCTTCTTATTTTGAGCTGCTTTTGCAATACTTGTTCCACAACAATTTTTCTGATTTCTAGTACCTAGTATGTATGTAACAGTCGCATCACACATGTCCCTCCTAACAGTTTACCCCCTAATTGTGGTTGGGACGTTTTCCTGGGTATACGGCTGCGATGTACAGCGTAGAGTTTCATCCACCACAGCAAGGCCTCCAATGCTGAGGTGGAATCCAGCGCTTCCATCAGCAAACCCAGTTAAGAGTAAACCAATACCAGGGTCAACCACCGTCCTGGCATCGAGCTAGTCGCATGGTGGCAAATCTCCCTCTGATCCACAAGGACTGCGACTGCCTGTAGTGATGACAACCTGGAGCAAACTTTGGCCAGACTGTCCTTGGGACTCCAGAGAAGCACAGTGGTTAAACCAGAAAAAGTGCGAAAAATGGAGAATATGCTGGGACCCGCACAACCAGTGTGGACGGGCCATCCAAGTATCCAAGTAAGTATACGTATGTGGCATTGCTTGATGTAGTTCTTTTTTAGGGTAATATTTTGATTTTTCTCCTCTGTTCCGAAAATTTTACCAAACGTAAATAAGAGAGCTCGAGCTGTTTTTATTTTGCTTTATGGCTACTACATTTTAATCAGTGCATATTTATTGCTTGCGAGAACATCGATTTCGTTTTCTAGAATTCACAAACTTATCGTCATGGATCAGTTTCTTGTTCGCCTGCTAAGAAGCGTAAGCGACGCCCTTATGATGAAAGTTGTGATAGAAGTTCATTTATTCATTTCCGTGGGTTTTTTGTGCGATTCATAAAAAGAAGAAGGATTTTTTTAGACACAGATTCAAATCCAGAGCGCATAAGGCTCATAATCATCTATGTTGTTCAGGACGTTTTGATTACGTTCATGCTCCACCACTATTGACGGCAATTCGTGCATCAGAAGCTCATAATTTGCCACGATATATTCCTGAAGGAAATAAACAGGACTTCATGCGTTGGTCAGATTCTGACGGAGGTCTGTTTTTTCTGCATGATTTCCGAGTATGGGTTATGGAGCTCTTTCAGGCTACAAGTATCGATCTTTTTTAAACGACTCTGCCTATTCTTCGTTACAGAACTTGTTTTGCACAAAATCAGAGACGTTGCATCCGCTCTCACGTCGGCTCCGCTCGGGTGCACATACGACTCCTCACTGGATACATTCGTCTTTACTCTTGACGACAGTGTACGGTTTCTTTTGCCTTTTATTTTCGTCTTTATAATTTGTGACATACATCAAGGCAGTCCTCCGCACGGTTTACCGCCTAATTGTGGCTGGGAGGTTTTCCTGGGTGTCCGGCTGCGACGTACAGCGTGGAGACTCATCCACCACAGCAAGGCCTCCCATGCTAAGAAGGAGTCCAGCATTTCCATCAGCAAGCCCAGTTAAGAGTAAACCAATACCAGGATCAACCACCGTCCTTGTATCGAGCTAGTCGCATGGTGGCAAACCTCTTTCTGATCCACAAGTACTGCGGCTGTCTGTGGTGATGTCGACCTGGAGCAAACTTTGGCCAGGCTGACCTCGGAACTCCAGGGAAACACAGTGGCTAAACCAGTAAAACTGCGAAAAATGGAGGATATGCTGGGGCCCGCACAACCAGTGAGGACGGGCCATCCAAGTATCCAAGCATCCGGGTATCAAGGCAATAAGTTATATGTTTAGTTGATGCTGTGAAATGTCATTATAGCCAAAGGACTCTGAAACTAAGAAAGTTGATCTAGTTGATATGAGTCGAATTATGGCGGTAATACAAGAAAGTGGTCGTTGTTTATTGAATATGACACATTGGAAGAGTTTTCTGAATTTTTATTTGATTATGAATGCTCCGTCTTACACAAGATGCATGCTGGCCTACTGTCCACTCGGATGTTAATTTGTTGATTAGGTAAAATTTCCTCTTTCTATAGCCTCGATATAGCTGTGCTAGGTCTTTCGCAAGCAACTGCAGGTATTCATTAGAGTGGAGCTTTGCCAACTTTCAGTTGGGATGCTACCAGTGCGGAGTGATTTATGGCATTCGTTTTTTCCTTGTAATTCTACGAATATTTACCATTGTAACCGGAGAATTTTCGTGCTTTGCTTAAATACACAAATACCTGCCTTTTTAATAAGCACATACGAGGTTGTTATTGTATTATTTGTTGATGCTAACTAACTTTTTGGCAGATTTTGCTTTCTTAACTCTTTTACTTACTGTCTTTTTCTTCTTAATGGCAGGGTATGTTGTGAAATATAACTCGTATGAAGTGCTGAGATATTTGCAAAACTCCGGACCACAGGTGTATGCAGTGGGGAACGAACACGCGCTGTTATCCTTACCGGGGAGCAGCGCACTTCACCACTACACCATCCGGGTCCTTCGCTTTGCATGTATCTCAGCTAGTTCTATCGATCTTTTTGCCATCAGCAATCACCCGTCAACGGGATTGATCTGGGGAGCCAATATCGGCATTGAACCCAGTTAAGCTGAGGCCTCGTTATAATAATAATATTAACTCTTTTATTTAATGCCTTTTTCTTCTTAATGGCAGGGTATGTTGTGAAATATAACTCGTATTACCCGGATGGTGTAGTGGTGAAGTGCGCTGCTCCCCGGTAAGAACAACAGCGCGTGTTCGTTCCCCACTGCATACACCTGTGGTCCGGAGTTTTGCAAATATCTCAGCACTTCATACGAGATTTTGCTTTCTTCGAAGTCTCGGACGGTCAATTTGATTGCAATCTAGTCAGCCAGATGCCTTGATAGCTTTAACAGAAAAACTACGGAACTTATATTTTGAATCGCTTCGGAAACAGAACGGCGTTTTCACACATTTGCATTTTCTATGTGCTAAGTATTCCATGTGGAGATTTACCGTACATAGTTCACATGGATAAGTAGTGCTTCCCTCTCACGTCGAAATTTCAATCCTAAATATTGTGTAAGACCATGTATTATCATAACGAGACACCTACCTGCTGCTCATTTTCGGCTTCTTTAGTTTTACCCAAGGAGCTTCGGGAGTTTTGCTCGCTGAAGTTTTCGATTCCCTGGGCGAGGATGGTAACTTCTGTTCAAAACCTTTCCAGTAATTTCTCTATTTTGTATTTATGAGGCGTTCCTCCCAAAATTTTACCGCCTCACCGTGGCTGGGAGGTGTTTCTGGGCGGCGTTGGGCTGCCATGTCCAGCGGAGATTCACCCTCACTCCCTCTAACAGGATCTCTCCGGCTGAGAAGGAGGCCAACGTTTCCGTCAGGTAGTCTAGCTTAGAGTAAACCAACACCAGGATCCACCACCGTCCTGGTATCAAAGTCGCATGGTGGCAAATCTCCCTCTGATCCACAAGGGCTGCGACTACCTGTTGTAGTGGTGCAACGACCTGGGGCAAACTTTGGCCAGGCTGACCTCGGGATTCCAGGAAAACAATGACTAAATTAGCAAAACTCCAAGAAAAGAAGATTATGTTGGGATCCGCACCACTAGTGAGGACGGGCCGTCCAAGTATCCAAGTAATGTCTCTATTTCCTATGCGCGCCTAGTGGAGTATTCGGCTTAACACCAAGTGTGCCGTTTAGATGTGTTCTTTTGTGGGGACGCAGAGTGCTCTATTCCTTTCGCCGATATACTCGTCCCTATACACTTAATGCAATTTTGCGTTGTGCATAGAGCGTCATATGGACAGTTAAGAACTAGCTAGCGTCTGAGAGTGTTCGGTGATATTTCAAACACTGCTGCCGAATTCTATAGATCGGCGTTTTTGAAGCGTTTTATAGCTACTCTTACTTCGTTAGAAATGAAGAGCGGAATAAACGAGACTTTGTTCTCGCTAGAATTATCGTTTAGGGGTGTTGACTTTCCTCTTCACCTATCCCGAAGGGCTACAACTTCGTAGCCATTGAAAGTGGCTATTTGCCGCGCTAAGTTTCCGGGACTCCTCCTTCTTCTCCTTTTCTGTGCACACGCTGGTGGTTGTCAAAAACGTATTCTTCACAAGTGCCACTTTTGTATGTGAGGGGTAAGAGGAGGGCTAATGGACCAGTACGTTTTTACTGCTTGTCTTTCACTACCATTTCGTAATGGAGGCGTTTTTCGGATTGGTTAATTTGAACATTAAAAAGTGGAAGACCGCTTTCATTCCTTCTCTCGGGTGAATTCCATGCGCTCTGGCTGTTCGTTGAATAACTCAAAACATTTTTGTACGGCAGTTGATCAACACCTATCGTGTATAAAAGTACAAGGTCGAGTGAAGTTTCCCATTCGAATGGTGCTCCTACCAGATTCAGTTGGATGTGACTACGAACGCACACACCGCTACAATGGCTAGCTTGAGAATATCGACGGTGATCAACGCTGCTCTGGAGAAGTCAGAGGCGCCAAAATGTTGGCAGGATAGAAGTTTTTTTTGTAGCAACCTCGTATCAGCTCAGTCATGTAGGAAATTATTGAGTATGATAACCTCATGTGTGCTTATCAAGGAAAGTTATTGATCGATACCCAGAGCAATAGAAAGCAGGTCTTAAGAATTACGCGGATATCCTTCGTGATCCATAAAACATTTTCCAGTTTTTCGGGTGACTATAATGCAATAAGTTTACTGATACACGTGACACGTGTATGACCCAATTTTCGAGAACTGGACCTAAAATGAAACAACCACGAAAACGGCTGAATTACTTCTCTGAGGTACATATCGATCGACCATTTTGGTGCTGTTCTATAACAGAAGATCCTCTTTTCATATTGGGCTCTTTTCGGTCGTACTCTTTGTTTACTACCTCTCTTCTCTTTTATTGTGATATGAATCGGCCATTGCTATTCTGATTTTATTATGTGCCTAGTCCTTTTACGACAGCATCACAAAATATCTATTCGGCAGGGTCTGTTGCCTGTAATTTTAGTTTCACTCTCAGAACGTTGTCTATTGAGGTTAAATATGATGAGTGGGATATGTTGCCTATATAATTTAGCCCAATATTACTTCTTCTGTGTTAGATTAGTTCTACACGTTTCTCTCCTCTATTCCCGTACCTCCGAGTGTAGGAGTCCAAAGATTTTTATTGTTGCATTTTTTATCTCTAGCAGCTTTGGATATTCAGTCTTTGCTTGTAGATACTTTTTGCATCCAGTCATGGAGAAGTGTTGAGCGATCTAACGATTAGAGGTTTTCAAAAACCATCTGCTATTTGCATCATTCAACCAGGAGGTTCATTTACTGCACTTATTTTCTATATTTTTCTTTGTAGTTGCTGGAGGATTTGTCGTTTTGTTTGCGATAGGTCATACTGGGATAGTCTCTAAATTTTACATATTTTTCCAGCCGCGATGGCTATCTTGGATCACTCCAAGCTCTACCTGTATGAAGCAGAATTACGTCGCCTTAGTGTGATTGCTAGTGATCTTAATGGACGTCATCGTGGTAAGCGTTTCCTTTTCCAATATTCAAATCCCACATACACAGTCATGAGATTGAACGAATAGCTTTCAAGCATTGATCGATTGTGAAGCTATGACTCTGCTCTTTCTCATCGTATTTGTGAGATTTCCGTCTAAAGGTAAATGAATCCTATTCTCACAATGGATATAGGATTGTACAGCAGCCAGAACTGGATCAACTTACGCATTCAGCATGCACATAGAACTGCAGACGTATTCATGCATGTATGGGTGGTTCTACTTATGTGTAAGCAAGTTGGATCCTACGCGTAAATTTTCTTGAAGACGTGCAATAAAATTTCTGAGGATAACATTCGAGTCTGCTAGTGGTCGTCGGGCTCTTACAGCAGCTCTGGTAAAGGTTGGTAAACTGCTCATAAATACCCGTTTGTTAGAAACAGTAATAATATCACTTACCACGGAAAACATTAATATCCATGTCATGTTGGGTTGGCGGGCAACACTCGAACATGACATAGACGAATGGATACTTTGCTTAGGCTCCTTCGAATACTCATTAATACAAGATACTAGAACAAAATTACTATATCATTTATTTAATCTATCCCTCATGAACTGCAAGCCTGATCATACTTGACATTTGCGTATCACTCCATTAAAGTTTTTTAATTTCGTCTTCTTGCAACCGTCGTTCGTGGAATTGATACTACGGTTCATGCATGGGAACCATTGCAACTGTCAGCAATTGTATGCTCTGTAAATTACATACAGCTGTGCTGCTTTGTCATGGTCTTCACCCACGTCATCCCGTCTTTTTCTGCTCTACCGTCATTCTACTCAAGACATGCTACTGCATTTATTCTTCTTCTTCTTCTTTCTTCCTTCTTCTTTCTTCCTTCTTCCATCTTCCGTCTTTCTTCTTCTTCTTTTTCTTCTTCTTGTACCTTAGTGTTACTTTCAATTTTCCACTAGTACAATGGATACAACTAGTATCCTATACGTCGTCCTTGGACGACCGGTCTTTTCTTCATTCATACTTTCATTTTTGGTTTCTCTTTTCAATATTGCGTTCAAATCAAATAATAGGAAGCATAAATGAAGGAGTCGTTGCCGAAAATATACTTACCTCGTATCCACGTCGTGGTGCACACCTGAAAACGACATAGTGAGGTTAATTTAGGACTCCAAGAAAGATCAAATTACTTAACCAGCAGTGGGCCAGTTTCAGTACCTCTCACAATGGGTGCTCACGTCTATGACGTCAGGTCGTGAGACGACTGGTGAGAGGCCACAAACTCTCGCAGGATAGGACGTCACTGGAAACGGGTCTGACGGACACCTACACGACACGCTATAGGGATTGTTTCTTACTCTGCACGTATAATACAAGAACTCTTTCGTCAAACACCGATCATCACTCCAGTATTAGAACCACAGATCGTATCAAATTTCATATGATCGCCTAATAATAAACAAAAAGCTGGAAGACTGACATATACCAACTAAAGAATGGACTTTTGTCATTTGGAGAGGGTGGGTCCCATCGTGAAATATCGTAGGCGTAGACTTTGTCGTCCACCCGTCCATTTTGTTGGCTCCTTCCATCGTTCGTCTTCAACCAGCGCATAATCAGAAGGTCACTATCATTAACTGCCACTCACCGATCGATGCAGTTGATGAGTATGAATTATATGCGTCCTACTATTAGTCGTATGGAATTATCCGCAGTTATAAATCTCATAAATTTTCTGTATGAGGCCTTAATTCCAGAATAGGGGAGGCCAACGGCAGCGAACATAGGATCGGGAAATTTGGATTAGAAGAACGAGATTAGGATGGAAACCAGTTTGCGGGACTCCTATTTTCAGCACGCCTCTTTCATGGAAACTTTTTCCAGAAGAAAGAAAGCCGCTATCAAACAAGGGAGTCTCCTAACGGCACGACACATACTGAGATCGATCATATTCTTACTAAAAGAAGATGGTGATTACTTGACACATCGTTAATCCTATAATTTTGTACCGGGTGCGATTACCAAGTAGGAGAAGTCTAGTTTTTCAGTATATGATAGTGCAGTATATGGTGGCAATTTTTAAATGGAGCATCTAAACGTGATTGACAGATTAAGGAAGATTCGACTAAAGACAAAGTTGGTAGTCGAAGGACTTAAAAGTTGTGACGAATTCGCCTCATTTCCCCAAAAAAGAAGGTTGAATCGCATCTACACTACCGGCTAACAGTAAATGCCGATTGCAGAAATGTTTTTTAGGAAGATCTACATCCGTAAAAGCAGAAGAAACTGTCAGAAGTAACGCAAAAAGGAGCAATTCTGAAAAATTGCCGTGGGAGGCACCAGTAAAAGTTTCTCTTAAAGATATGGAATGAATAAGAGAAAAGTTTTCCACTAACCTTTTCCATTCTGCAATCCCCATTTTGGCCTCCGAAATCCACACTGGAGAAAAACTGCCCTGGATTATACTCTCTGAGGCAGAGGTTGTGATAGAAAGCATGAAGAAAGACGCGACTACGAAACCCCTAATATTACAGCTTTTATTGGTGCAGATGCCATAAACTACATCTTACAAGCCATATGACATCTTATCTTAAAAAGGAGAAAATCCTAGATGAGTGAAGTACATCGCACACTGTCATCCTGCCTAAAAAAGGTAACCGGATTTGTTTTCGTAACTATCGTCCGATATGCATGTGGATTGTACTCTACAAGCTCTTTACAAAAGTCATCCTTTAATGCATGTCAAAACCATTAGATGAGTCATAAGCAATTTAGTAAGCAGCATTTCGACTGGTGTCGCCGACGACAGCGCTATGCTCTCAGGAAGTACCAAAAAAGCGGAGACGATGGTCAATGAGCTCAGTGAATTGGGAGAAAAGATTCTAGTACGCATTAATCCGAAGAAGACCAAGTTCATAAAAAGTCCACTGTGCAAAAGCGAACAAATCAAAGTGGTTGGTTGTCTGATTAAAGAAACCACTTCGTATACATGCTATACCTTGGACGTTGGAACATGGAGAAGACCATGTACGAGGAATTAGATGGAAGAAGGAGAACAGCATACGTCACGTTGGGGGCTCTGAAAGAACCCACAAATCAACTAGTGGACCCGGAAATCCGTGCTCATCTTTTTGATTCAACGGCCCTCCCAGCACTTTGTTATACGGCAGAGATGTGGGATTTCAACTATGTGAAGAATACTGCGCGCTACTCACAGATAGGTTGAACGATGTCTACTGAAATGTAACCAGGACACACAACATATACCACGAATGCGAAACTTTTAACTTCGAAATGTATCCCATCTTCGAGACTCAGAAGAATACATATCAATAGCGAAACATAGATGAGGCGATTGTTTAATGAGAAGAACAGGCGACAGGTGGACGAAAAAGATAGAGTGCACTGCACGAGGCCGAAGACGTTCCCTGAAGACTGAAGACTATCATCTACATATTGGACGTGCGTGTTCCTAACTAAGATCAAACGGTTGTGTACTTGTAGGTGCAGTTGTTTTACAGATCGTGTTATGAGAATGACGAATGTGGCCATGCTTAAATGAAATCATCAAATGAACGACAATAGCCAGGCAAGGAAACGGATGGGAAATGTGCCGTTATGCACACTGCTTGTGAAGATTGGCGGCCCATTTATTCATGTGAGTAAGTATAATTAAAATACTGTCCATCTCAATTCATTTTCCATCGCATCATTGGTTACCTCCAGAACTGAGTTTTTCCCCTCTGTGCGCAGCACTCTACCCACTTTGTTGTTCTGGGGTTGTCTTACTTGTACTTCTCTAAATGTCGACGATGCCGCTGACGAAACTACTGTTTTATAGGATTTTCTCGTTGATGGCTTCTTTTCGGTCGACTTCATTATCCTTTGCATTTTTGTATGCTGTGAATGTTGTCCTGGGAATGGAGTTGGACAAATTTCTTATCCAATGTATTGTATATTAGAGTGACAATCGATATTTCCGACATATGACGATTGTTGAAGTGCAACGACGTTGCTGCGTATACCACGATATCGGAAGTTAGGTGCGTCGTGCATGTTAGTGACAACCGCTTATCGAGAGCATTGAGTGTTTTCAAAGGAACGTCAAAATCAACACTGCCGTACCTTACAGTACTAACCGTCAACCAACACTACGAAGATCCTGAACGAAGAAGAAAATTTACTGCTATTTGTATGTTCCCGGTGAGAATCCAGAGGACAACACTATTTTGTGACAATAACGGGCAGCATATTCAAGTCGAATGAGAGATTTTGAAGTTGTCAAAAATTATTCCAGTTGGTCAAAAATTTCTAGACATGCGTTTTTTTGGAAGGAACTAAGTTGTTAGTTCTTATAAGAATAATTTTTTCTCCATCGAGTTCTTTTGCTTAGATACCTAGGTATCTAGATAACCGGTCTTCCCAACCTTGCAACACAATGAAACAAATTTTTTTGGTTAGTATTTTGCTGCTTAGTTTTCTGCAGAGCCCCAAGATTATTCTAGTAATTTCGCAGGTCGTCACGGAAACCTGCGAATGTAGAGCGGCAGGAGGTTTGCCGTCTAACGGCATATTTCTATCAAGACGACGGTCAATATGGCACAGGTTTACTTTCGGGTGGCTGGATTTCCAGGCAGAAGTGCTTAATTGTCATGTTGAGCTAAACCCTTAGCATGGGTGTTGTACATCACAATTTAATATGAGTGAACACTCCTGGCTACGATTAGGAGGTAAATCATTAATGGGGTTGTTCATAATAAGTTCAAAATATTTTCTTAGGTTTCAAAACGATTGGCCAAAATTTAGGAAACGCCATTATTTTGAGAATTGTTATCAAATTTAAAAATATGCCATCTATTAAAATGTGTTAGTTCAAATCTGTAGGGATGAAAATTCTATCTGAAGGTAATCCTCTTTATAAGAGGTCTCTAGAGATATTTAACTGTTTCACTCAGTTTTTCTTTCCAGTTTGATGATATTTCAGCACTTACATACACTAACAATGGGGATCTGGTTACAGTAGGAAGGAATCGCATGGAGTTGTTTCTTACCGTGTTCGATGCGACGGAGTACAACAAGGTATATTAACACATTCATGACGACGCCTAATTTCATGTATAGGAGGGACCGCAAAACGGACGACTGCTAACCTCATGTCGGTTATGGATTTGCTTTTTTTAGACAGTGGACAACAATTTTTCGATCACTAGAGGACTTTAGGTGTTCACAAAATGATAGCATCATGGAAGAGACATTAAACTGGCTTGTAAAGAAGGTTTTTAAACATTTCGATGTTCATAATAGAGATTTCTGTATCCGACACCTGCCACAATTTTTGTGGTGGATAAATTGTCGAATGATTACAAAAAAGCAGCAAAAACGCTCCATATAGCCATGGCAGAAAGGAAAGTGCACCATATATGATGCATTCGGCCAGTCTGCTTCCCGATGAGTGTGCAGATATCATGCACTCGTCGTAATATGTTAAGAGTTTCCTGCACTGTTTCCCATTTTTGTTAACTGCCACTCACTGTTAGGTTGCTCGGAATTAATGTCGGATCTCATTTTTCTTGCATAAATTTTAACAGCAGTTTTTCTGGAATTCCGTATTATTATATATGATTGCAAAGCTCTTTTTATACACTTTTAGCTACATATAATTTAGTTAAAGTATAAATTGTAGTTTTGGAGAAATGTAAGGGTTAGAATTCCAGATGTTAAAATGGTAATCTCAGAAAAACTATTATGAATTCAAAATCGGACGTATGCGGCGCAAATGGCTCAAAACATTGATGAGATGTAGGGCTAAGGAAGTATAAACGAGCACACTATGTTGGTTGTAAAAATTTCTTCATGATAAATTCGATCTTGAAGTTGAAGAAACTTGCAGACATCTTTCTGCTATTGACGACGATGAACTGAAGGCTGCGATGGAGGCAAAAATGTCTTCTGTAACCGCGTAAATGTTCGAGAACCAGAAGAACTCAATATAAATATCTCAGTTATTTCGGGCTATCTAAAGAAGATTCGAAAGTGGAAAATCTTGAGAAATGGATGCCGCAGCAATTGAATGACAATCGAAGAAAGTGTCGTTTTGAGATGTAGTCGAAGTTTCTTCTGCGCACTAGAGAACGGCCCATTTCCCAACCTAGTTGTGGCGTTTGACGAAAAATGCACACTCTTTGATAATTGGCAACAAGCGGTCCAGTAGTTGGTTCGTGGTGAATCTCCGTAACGTTCCGAATACCGAAATTGTTTTTAGTTTTTGTTTTGTTTTTAGGTTATAACGAGATCTCCTTATCCTTATCCAGACAATGTGCCATTTGCGGTCAATCGCCAACCATGCTTTGCAGACAGCTTTGGAAACCAAATGTTCTTCACAGATCTTCGTAAGCTTTTATAAAATGGAAATATTTTTAGTAATGGGGTGAGTGTTATTCAAATGCTTTCTGTTTTCTAAAAAGATCCGTTGTTTATAGGCGCGAACACGCTGACTTGCATGGAATTTACTGGAAATCGTTTTGAGAAGGTTTACAGTCGGTATAAGCAGCTGTTGCCTGTGAATAGTAGCACCATTGCACATGAGCGGTAAATCTCGTCGTATACGATAGATGACGATGGAATAAGATATGGTATTCGAAGATGGATTCTTTGAATTAAAATTTTTTACTCAGGTTTATGTTCATGAGCGGGATTCGTTGCGATGGTTCCGGTCACCTGTTCATTGCCGATGCCAAAGCTCGTACGTTAAAGGTATTTCTGTTCATTAGATTTCAAAAATATTTCAACATTCGAAGGCATCTGATACGTAGGAGTCAAAATCGTTTACTTCGTTCTGGATTTTCAGACCAGAAGTTTTGAGATTTTCTATAACTTCAATCTTCATAGTTGTTTACGTCGTCTGGTCAGCTTCTAAAGTGTGCACGACTTGCGTATGGTGCTAATTTTCCGTACTGCTCATCCTTCGGTATTTCTTCTTCTGGGCTCCTAATGGCATGTGATCGTGAAAACTGTCGGATGGTACTCTACCGCTTTGGAGGTGAAGGTGAGTTCGATATAACTGAATAAATATTTTTTGATAGTTCATAGCTGAAAGGACACATTCGAGTTTTTTAAGTTTTCTTTGACGATTGAGTTAGTTTCTTTTTTTTTTTTTGGAATAAACGACCATCTTTATTTTAGGGTGCCTTTGAGGGCGGATCTATTAACGGTGTTGTTTTCCTTGATATTATGAATGAGCGCGGTGTCAAAATTCAACTGCATGCCGCGAAAGAAGATTGCATAGGTTTATATGAAATATGGTTTATATGGTTTATATGATTTGCATCTAAGATGCAGATCAGAGAGCTTTATCTGTTATGGTTATTGCTTATGGACAAATGTTTGCGGAATGCCTGTGTATTTTTATTAGATTTGACACTACTGATGTTATGCAACTGTAGTAACTTGGCCATAATTTCAAATTCATCGCATCGTTACACAAAGTGAAGCTTCATAGTATTTGATTGTAAAGTTTATGGTTGTATGGTAACTGGATCGTCTCTAGTAGTTCTCCTTTCTTGAAACCAGTTCTTTATTTCTCAGAAGATGTTGTTACTTTTTCATCTAAGTTTGTTGTTTCGTAAAATCTAATATGTCAAGGATAAGGATCTCCAGCCTGTACGACCCTCTGCTCCTGCACTGGTCGTCATGCGGAGAGGTGGACATCCTAGCCACATTGGGCTCAAAATTCCCTGAACACATGTAGCCATCGCCCCTTTTATCGCGTTGAGCGTCGAGTGCACTACGGTTGCTTGATATTACAATGGCAATATACCACAGAGAAGAGAACTAGCTGAGTTACTACTTTCTCTCCACTCGTGTTTGCCGGCAAGTCTACTTGTTAGTTCCCATGGATCTGTTTTCACGAACGATCGCGCAATCACCACTCGACGGGTACATCACGTCCGCAGAGCTGGCTCAGCAGCTGGACCGTGCTGGGAGACTTGCCGGCGACAACGAGTGGAGAGGAAGTAGTAACTCAGCTAACAGCTCTTCTCTTGCCTGTGGTATATTGACATTGTAATGTCAAGCAACCGTAGTACACTCGACGCTCAACGCGATAAAAGGGCGATGTCCACATGCGTTCAGGGAATTTTGAGCCCAATGTGGCTAGGATCTCCGCATGACGACCAGTGCAGGAGCAGAGGGTCGTACAGGCTGGAGATCCTTATCGTTCTAATGTGTCAATTTTTATGCAAATTTGGTACTTTAAATACATAGATTTAAGAGCGGGATAGTAATAAGACATAGGTTTATATCAATTTTGAGAACTTGAAATTGTCAATGTATGTGCATTGTTGTGGTTGTTTATGCTTAAAGCAATATTCAAACATTTAACAGTTTGTGTGGAAGTTTTAAAATACCCTGGAAATTGCAACTAAATTAGCTCAATTTCTGCGTAACTCTATTTTTTCGAAGTTTCTATATATATGTATATATATATATATATATATATATCAGTTTTCGTTTGTGTCAAATGTGTATCCTCCAATGAATTATTCTAAAACACTGTATAACACTGGTTTTTTCTGGTTGGTCTCTGAATTTCATTGGTTGTAAGGCAAAGGGCGGGTGGCGCAATGCTCAGAGGTGTCCCTCCAGTGCAAATAAGTTGATCCCGCGTTTCAGAGTCACCAAGCCTTTCATTCAACCGGGTTGGAAAATTTGATAGCAGACCTGTCTGGGACGGTTGCAGCACTGACTGGATACATCTGTAGGCGACCACGAGTCATTGTAAAGACCAGATATGTATTCAGTCAGCTCTAACGATACTCGATGAAGTGGAATGCACGGGACATCTTTCAAGAATTGATCAGCGATATGAGCTTTATCTAAAGCTTTACCTTAATGCGGTGGAGACTTTAAGCTTGTAGCGGAGTTCATGAGGGGACGAAGCATGATACAGTGGTCGACTTTTGATCTATTAATTTCGTAACTGTATTCGTTGCCAAGACTGCATGAAAGACACTAGCTCAGCTGGTAGTGATCAAAAAGTGATAATTTTTCACCCAGTAATTCACACATTTATTCCTTGTTGTTTTTGAAGGTTAGAGTTTCGACGTTATCATCTGTGGTCACTGAGTTTTTAGAATTTCCACTCCAGAATTCGTATATATGCCAACAAAAGCACCAAAAATCAAAGTTCGGGGGTAAAATCTGTGCTCGCTCTCTCTTGTTCTGTGTCAAATTCTGTCACTGGGTTGTGTTCAATCAAGAAATGCGAAGCGCACTTCACTCTTCGTATGAGGTGCTCTATTTTAGGATTTGGAACCAGAATCCTACCATTAGTAGCTAACATGGCATATGTTTATTCTTGTTCAGGGTTCCAGATGAAAAGCTTAACTTAATGTCCGGTTTCAGGATTGACTTTTGGATTCATGTTCAGATAGTGGTGATTGTATTAGTTGGTAACGTGGAATATAGGTCTTAGGGTCAGTATTCGGCACAATAATTACTAGCTTGGAGTAGAATGCTCGACTTTGTACGAGTTTGCTACACGGGACTTTTTGTTGTTGCCACAGAACATAATCTCAATTTTCGGTTATAACCGTTTATGACAACAATAACAATACATTATTAAAAATCTGACAGTATCTACTTGACCGAATTGACTAAGCGCAATTGAGCGAAGCACGAGCGAAACACTGGGAAAACCTAACCGGGTGATTAATAATGCTCCTTATGCTGCTTCTGTAATGGGCGGGGTTTGACAAAAGGAACTTGATAAAGTGCTCAAAGGGAGATTTTAGAATGTTTGTCAGTTAGTATAATCTGGTAGCGTTGCTTGCACAAAATGTTGGTGAAAGCTGCACAAAAGCTTTAACGGAAGATACATATAACAGCGATGCGGTAGCTTATACAAAAAGCAGATTGGAACGACAGATGTTGAAGAGTGCCTGCAACTGGTTGTTGCTTCTTCAGTGTCCAAGTTGTCTGACCGAAAAGAAAAGTTGTTAAGAACAAGTTACAGAATTGCTTTTCGGCCATACTCGAGGTGAATGCATGAGATAGCCGCTAAGAAACGATTTGCAAAATGTGCATTGAACGGCCCGTCCTCACTGGTTGTGCGGGCCCCAGCATAATCACCACTTTTCGGAGACCTGCTGGTTAAACCATTGTGGTTTCTTGGAATCCCGAGGTGGGCCTGGCCAAAATCTGACCCAGGTCATCACCATCACAGGCAGTCGCAGCCCTTGTGGATCAGAGGGAGATTTTCCACCATGCGACTTTGATACCAGGATGACGGTGGATCCTGGTATCGGTTTACTCTTGGCTAGGCTTCCTGAGGGAAACCCCCGACTCCTTCCTAGCTTGGGAGACCCTGCCGGGTGCATCGCAGTCCGACATCCAGGAACACCCAGCCACGATGAGGCGGTAAACCATTGGAAGGGTAGAGTAATTACCACTAAACAAATAATATCGGAAGCATGCCGCGATATAGGAAATAGGAGCTATTTGGAGAACAGTTACTATAGCGGTTAAGGGAAACACCTTCAAGATTTTTGCTGTTATCTCAGCACTTAACTCAAAGAGTTGCTACAAACTCTCCACGCTTATCGCTAACAGGCACTCTTATAGTTCTTAGCTTTATCGGATCTCGAATCCCTCCCAGTCGTCTTCGTGTTTATGTGAGTTTGGAGCAAAACGTCTTTGCGCTGCAATGATCAAGAAATTTAAAGTTTCATCCGAAAATGTCCGAAATTCGGTATCAACTTATTGTCTATAGAACGCTTCGGGAAAACGGTAGCGGCAGCGGCGCTACTTGTTGTGCATTCTGATTTAATGTTCCAAGTGTTGCCATACTATGAAATCTGTTTTGTCGTTCATGTAAACTTAATGCGACCCTACACATGGATAGCTTAATAGGGCGTTCAGCTTGTGAGAAACTTGTGCCTAATTCTGATATGGAGCGCACTCCATTAAGGAGAGCAATATCTGCTGACAGGGTTACTTTAGCCTTTTCTGGCACATTATTTAGCTTAACTCAACTTCTTTGAACTTCATAAAAGTTGTTTCTATACCTTCTTGAGGCCGCGTTTTACGATCCACTCAACGGATTTTGCGAATTTTCTCCGTAAAATTGCTGTAGCGGACAAAACCCGACAAATTTCTTACACAACTCGACTTTCACATCTGCTATGCGTATCCAGGCACTGCTTGTAATTCAATTTGTTTCTTCAGATCTGTTATTCACAAAGATCTTTCAATTTCACGCTTAGCTTCTACTGTTGCTTGAGGATTTTCATTTCATCATGAATGTCGTTAAACATTGGTCGAGTCGATTTCTTTTAAAGTCCTGAGATAGCAGGATTTCTTCTTTCCAACTTGGATTTTAGAGATTTTCCGAGCCCAAAGAGATGAAAGGCACGATGAATCTAGGATGAGTCAAGTTTGCGTCGTGTTCGTGCTAGTCAGCATCATTATTACTGCGCTACTTGCCATCTTTAATAAGTAAATAGAACAGATAAATACGTAACAAATCCTATACACTCATGTCAATGATACAAAAATTTACTCTGTAAAAATGAAAGTTTCTAGAACCGTCGAACAGCTTTCTGTACTAGTTCTCCCTTTTGGCTTTTGTTTTGAATTTCGTTGAACGATGTCGTCTTAATTCTCCAGTGTGAGTGGCTGTCGCCGCTACACTGATAGTTTTTAACAAAGTTTATGATTCTCAATCAAATAAATAATAGGACTCATTTGTTCCAGTGCAGAAGATGGAACGATGGCGACATAAATTAGAATAAGTTTTCCGCTGGTGAGCATATAAGCAGTCGTATGAGTATTATGAGTCGTACCGTCCAAAAACCGCTACGTCAATGGCTAACGGCCTTTCTTCTTGAACAAGGAATTTCTGTGGCAAAAAGGAACTTGTCCTTCGTACTGATTCAAATTTTACGATTCTATGTTTCAATTCTTGTACGCCTCCTATTAAGAGGGTCATCCGCAATGAATTTGTTCTATCTTTCGTTATCGTTATGATTTCGTTATGATTTCCTCAAGATTTCCATGAAACATTGATTTTCCTAACATCAGCTGCTGATATTGTGAGTAGTTAGTGGCAATGTTCCAATAAGGAAATGCATGACGTCGGACGGCAAAGCTGGTAGACAGAATATGATGGAAGTTGTGCAGATGACAAATGAATTAGTGCAGTGACCTGACGATGACAACGCCAGCAAAGTTATTTAACGACGAAAGTGCGGTGTTTCACCTGTCAAGTGACGGCCATTTTGTACTCAGACATCCAATTTCATTTGTTCTGTGGCATGTAAAAAAAAAACATGGAAAACATAATCTGAAGGGAGTAGTGACCTGGAATTTACCGCCATCCCCGTCGCTAACAGTTTCAATAGCGTACCATGAGAGTATCGTTGCCTTTCATATGTAGTGATGTCCT